GAAAAGATGAAATAATGTTTACGATTGATCGGTTCGCATTGCCTTGCCAATCGACTTTTATTCCTTCTAAATTCTAAAACAAGAATCTCTTAATCCAATGAGAGTTAAAAGTTCAACAAATTCACCTTTTTTTTCCCTATATAATCACCTATAATTTCATGAAATTTCTAGAAATATACTTTCAAAGTAATATTGAAGGAAAAGCGTTGTAGCCACTTCTTAAAATCTGACGAAATTATCAACTTTTAATAAAATGGCTTCTAGATTGGGACAAGAAATTTTCACTTAGCCCGTCGTATAAATGTCAAGGTAATTTACTATTTAGTAAGTGAATTTAATAAAGAATGGGATATTTTTTGCAATCACTTTTTCATGTTTAAATAACAGGGAAATGTTTCGAAAGATAACGAAAATATGGCACGGAAATTCAAAGTCGTATTGAAATAATGGAAGATGCCATCCAAAAACTAAACACTGTATTAAGAAAAAGTCAAATATTATTAGAAACAAAGGAAAGGTTACTGGAACTGCTATGTAATATTGTTGTGAATGTTGGACAATATCAGATGAAGAAAAACTTGATGAAACAGAAGTTGGCTCTACAGAATGATACTGAGAATAACAAGGATGGAATATGTAAACAACGGGGAATTTTTAAGAAAACCGGAAATAATGAGATAACGAGAAAAGGGAGCCTGGAAAATTTGACACTCACAAGACATATTAAAAGCTCGGGTCACAGTGGGGAAACTACCTAACGAACTTGATGAATGGATGACAGAACAAGAAGGGGGATAGCAAAAAGGGAAACATTAATAAGAGCTATGAAGAATAGGAAGTCGTGGAGAGTCATGATCGACTACGCCATGAAGGACGCAGCACATAGAAGAAGTGGTACTTTTGTGAGTTGTTTAATGCATTTACTCTCTAGGCAATAAAATTTAGGACGTATGTCAGCGAAATTTATTTATTAGATTCTAAAAACAAAAAGCTGGACTCGAACAATACCAAGTTCGATCAAAAAATAATGTTTTATTTCGAAAGAAGCAAGGATTAACCCATACCGACATACAAGGGCTACAAATAGTGTTTTAATATTTTAGTTATCGATTCAATCGATGTCACACTTTTACAAGTAAAAAGTTATATATATATATATATATATATATATATATATATATATATATATATATATATGTGTGTGTGTGTGTGTTTATGTTAATGTATCTTCATCAATATAACTAGATTTACTCAAGCACACACACACGCACATATATATATATATATATATATATATATATATATATATATATATATATATATATATATATATATATATATATATATATTCGTGTGTATACACATTCTCATTTCAGCTACATTACCGTCTACGAACAGCACAATTATACCGTTATTCTTTGATTATTTCCTGGTAAGGAATTTTCTTGAAATTATTCGCATTCAATCAAGGAATTTGGATTTGGTCTAAAAAATTCGCGTCTGTAAGTTTCCTTTATTTTTGAAGGTGTTTCCGAAATATCAGGGACATCAAGTAGGGTTTGGTCTTTACAAATACAGCCATTGCATGTTGGACGCTGCAATCAGAAGAAAAAAAAAGAAATAAAGAGAGCTTTTGAGAAGAGAGTTGAACGTGAAAGACAAGATCGAAATAATGGAAAGGCGGATGCGAAATAAGGAAAAAAAAAAAAGTAAAGACGAAACAAAGAAATAGAATGTTGTGTAGGAAATAAATGAATCGAAAGAATAAAGATATGAAAGAATCCGAAGAGAGAAAGAAAAAAATAGAACGCGGGGAAATGGCGCTTGTAAGAAAAGAAAGAGAAAAGAAAAGTAAGAGAAAAGAAAATGAAAAGAAAAGAAAGCAAAAATGAAGGAGAAGACGAAGCGAAACAATGAAAAAAAGAAAGGAAATGAACATAAAAAATTTTTGAAAGAAGATAAAGAGAAAGGGAAAAGACTGTATGATATAAACAAGAAAAGACAATGGCGAAAACGAAAATGTAAATTCAGGACGAACGAAAGCGAAAGATGAAGAAAAAGGTATAAGAAACGGAAAGAAAGGAAGGACAGTAGACTCAGAAGAAGAAGAAGGGAGAGGTAAAGGAGAGAGAGAAATAAAGAAAGATAAAGTAGAGAAATAAAGAGAGAGAGATAAAGAGAGAGAGAGAGAAAGAGAGAGAGAGGGGGGAATCTGGCAAGACTAAAAGGAAGAAAGAAAAAAATTAATTGGAAAAAACAAGACAAGAAAGATGGAGAATGAGAGAAGAAATGGAAAAGAATAGAAAGAAAATAAATTGAAAGAAAGAATTAAATATAAAACTTGATTCTAAAACGGAAAAGTGAGAAAGTGTTATTTAAATAGAGAAAATAATAAATACAAGAATAAAAGCAGATTATTTTGACAGAATCTGAAATGAAAGAATGTATTAAAATAAAGATATTGAAAACTACCCAAAAGTTTTTTAAGCGAGGGTAACATCACATTCCCCATCATTATAATTGGATTATCAGTATTATTATTCTTTGGGATTAAAATCAAATCAACGGGGCTTTCTTCACTAATGAAAACTCTGTCTTCAATTTTCCATACATAATTTTTTTCCCTTAACGTTTCCAAAGATGCAAAAGAAGAAGAGAAAAAAACTAAAAATCCGGAAATTCCTTGTGGTCATCTCCCGCAATTTATGTTCTAAAGGAGGATCCATTCCTATTTTTTCTTAGATTTGATTCTGGCAAAATGATAAAACCATACAATTAGAATGGTATTGAATCAGAAGAATGGTAAGGTCTTTTGCATCTGCAGGATCCAAATATTAATCTTCAAAGAACAGCGTCTCAACCCACTGAGTTCGTTTTGTTCGCTTTTGTCTTTTTAAATGCGTTGGATTTTCTCACAGTGTCTTATGAATACAACATCTGTGAGGCTTATTTCCTGGACATGTTCCAAAAAATGTGTAGGAGTTCGTGCACACAGAGACACACACTCGGAGACATACTTACTTGTCTTACTGGGAAGAGATGCAAGCAAAACTTAGTAGATTAACGGTATATTCTGTGATGTTTGAAAGAATTCATCGGACGAAAGCAAAAAGGCTATGAAGCTCGACGATTTCATGAGCAATACTTTTACTTGAAGGGAAAATGTATTGCGGAATTTGAAACATGCGTTTATTGAGAAGGTATTTAAAAAATTGGTCTTTTTGAGAGCAAATTATCTTCCAATGTCTAAGTTTTGAGATTTCGGCAAAAAGTTCTTATGTCACCACGAAATGTATCTTTAATGTATTAGACATTCGACAACATTCATGTTTCTCTCACTTAAACCTCTTCCACTCACCTCTCTAAAACTTCTCTCTGTTAAGGTTTAATCTCCCACCTTCTCTCGTCTGTTACCCCTCTCTAACATTCGTCCCTCACTCTCATACTTACACTCTCTCTAAATTCTGTTTTTATTTCCGGAGTTGTTTTTTCTGTTTTCGTTTTGAATTTGTACGTCTGATGAATTGGATCGTATTTACGATTCCAATGGAATAAATTATGACCATGGAATATTAGCGTTTAAGCCTTTTATTATATATATATATATATATATATATATATATATATATATATATATATATATATATATGGGCAGCATATCTTAATTCAAACATGTTTCATTGAATAATATACACATAATATGTCTACTTATTTGTATGGAATGCAGATTTTTTCACAGTTTCAATAAAATTGTCTTTGTAATTCCCCCACCCACCGAAGGTGATCTTCGAGGACATCTAAAGAATTTCGGTAGGAAAATAACTATGGCGCCTTCTTTGATCTTTCATCTTAACATCAAGAAACTGATTATGAGTATAAGAATAAATAGTTATAATATGTATATATTATTCAATGAAACATGTGTGAATGAAGATATGATGTATGTATATATATATATATATATATATATATATATATATATATATATATATATATTTTTTTTTTAAAAAATTATAACATAAGTATGTTATAAAATCACTACAAAAATAGCCATTTTGTTTCAACACACTCTGTGTCTTATCAAGTGATGATGTTGAAAAGAAAATAAATGGTTTAAAAGTTTCAGATTAATTAACGATCCTACACTAGGGGGGAAACATTGTTACAAAAGCTAGAATAACCAATCAAAAATGAAGTATAGAAAGATTCAAAAGCTTGACAACGAAATCCTGCTATAATAGCTATTCAGATCTTTAAATACGTGTAATATTAAAAATAATTTATACTAACTAATAATTATAAAATTATATGATAAAATTTAATATTAAAATTAAAAACTGGCAATTTTTAAAATCCAAATTTAATCACTATTAAGTTTAAAAACTACAAAATTATTGAGAAAAGAAAAAATATATATGTTTATTCGAGACACTTTCCAATTATGGAAATCAAAAAGTGATAAGCTAGGGTAATTAATTTGATTTATGATATCCACTTGTCCTCAGAGATCAGAATGCATTTTTCTCATACAGAGTTTTCACTTTCTTTCATACATGAATCCCCCCCAAATGCTTTTTCCGTCGAGAATATATATATATATATATATATATATATATATATATATATATATATAAATCCATGGATGCGCACTGCTGATGAGTCCTAAATATAGGACGAAACGGCCGTCCAGTGCTTTCTGCATTCAGTTGAGGTTTCTGTCAGACTCGATGAATTACTTAATTATATTTATCAAATCCTCCTAAGAATTTGTATCATTTGTATATCATTGCTTGAACCGGCTTCTAATGCTCTAGAATGAGCGGCTTGCTGATAGTAGTCGTGGCTCCTGGGGGCACAGTCCTGTGGTTAGAGAGAATCTCAGTTGAGTTCCACCACGGAATATGTGAGCGAGCAGCGCCATGTTGAGTCTGATTTGCAATCTCTCCCGAGGCCAGCTGGACCAGTTGGTATGACGTTTGCATGATAACTTAACTGTCAGGGTTTCAATTCTCGGTAGTGGATGCGCACTGCTGATGAGTCCCAAATATAGGACGAAACGGGCGTCCAGTGCTATCTGCATACTTCTTTCTTTCGGACTCGATGAAATAATAAATTATATATATATATTATAAATTATATATATATATATATAATATGATATATATAATAATAAATATTTAAATATATATATATATTTATCCATCGCACCCTACATATATATATATATATATATATATATATATATATATATATATAGGCGCGAGGGATAAATTGTAGTCTAAATTATGAAAAAACACTGACATCTCAATTTAACAGATATATTAACCCAAATTACACAAAAATATCTTGAAATATTACAGAGTAAATTTATTCAATAAAATCGCCATTGCCTTCAACCACGGATTCCATAAGATTTCGGAATCTCCTACATCTCTTCTGGACGGTCTCCTTGTTTAAGTTGCTGATTGCTGCCATAAGCCTTTGCCTTCAGTTCATCTTTGGTGATACAAGAATTTTTGTAGCTATCTCGCTCAACCGTGCTTCACATAATAATCAAGTGGGGGTTGCAGTCTAGGGAGTTAAGTGGCCAGATATAAGGGGGTGATGTGGTTTCAGCACTACCTCCTCAAGGCCTTTTGCTGTAGGCCTTCGTTTTGAGTCTGAGACTCTCTGGGTAGGTATAACGTCGCCATTACTAGTGATCACTGCAGATATCTTGATTTTACTTTCCCAAACATTCTGAAATGCTCGTATTTGAACTTCCAGTGCGAATGCCAAGCAGTAAAACATGCCGTTTCCAAATGTCTGGCGGTATGAATTGCCTCATGGTGTTCCTTTTCTCATAGACGGTGCCCAACTGACCCTACTATACTGAGCAGTCGACACAATCAAAAACAATGTGCATGCATGAAATAAAAATATAAAATGACGACAATTTAGCCATCACAACCTGCATGTATATCCTTGTAGATGTTTGTTCTAACTCAATACAGATTTATCGAGAAATATAAGTAAAGAGTATATACAATTGATCATTAATTTTCTTGTACCATGAAATTTCGGCATACGATTTTTCCTTTGTTTACAATTATTCAAAATCACATATTAAAAAAAAATAATTTACTAAATTCTTACCTATATCTTTTAAAGTTTTGGAAATGTGTACTATTCAACTAACTGTGAAATTATTGTCAATAGATATATAAACATCGATCTCGATAATTTCACTCAGCAGTTTATATATAAACAGAGTGAGATGGACAGATGGGAAGAAAATATCATAAATAGATAAATAGCAACAGAATAATAAAGCTTGCGAGATAAATAAGAACAAAGTTAGGTAGATAGATAGATATGAACAGAATAAAATAGATATGTATGAACAAAATATGAACCGAATAAGATAGATAGACAGATAACATTGGATATCTTGCTAGATAGTTTTCTGGTGTCATTAATTTGGGATATGTAATTATTATATGCATTTAAAAATAATGTTTGACTTTAAAAAAATACCAATAATTTCACTGAGAATATATATACGTGCTGCTACCCTTGGGAAAGGTGTGAATCCTATTCTTCTCCCTCCAGCTATGGGTTAAATAGCAGGACAGACTGGGTTCTATAGCCTTGGATGGCAACTGGTCTAGGAGAAGGATAACTCTGAATTCAAAACCTGAGGGGGGTTGTTTGGGGACCTTGTGGCACGCAATGCACCAGGTCTCTGTATTCGGCCCTTCAAAAAGTGTGGATGGTCCTGCACGAAACCTTCACCACTATAATCGAATCTCATGTGCCGGTGTCGGGCTGTCAGTTTCCTGGAAACTGATCTGCTTGACCCTCATAGGTCGAACCCGACGGGAGAATCGATTTTTTTTCGATTTATATATATATATATATATATATATATATATATAGTCAACCCTAGTGAGCCAGACAAACCTACCCAGGTTTCACCTAAGCGGATCGTCAGGGAAAGTAGCCAGCTTTACCTGACGATCCACTTAGGTGAAACCTGGGTAGGTTTGTCTGGCTCTAGGTTTATCTAGGTCTGCTCTACGGTTGTATTGAGCTCTTTTTAGTTAGTTCTTTACTCGTGTCGGTTTTTTTTTTCTTTGGGCTTCAAACCTGTATCTGTGCGATTTTTTTTTTTCGACAGACTTTCATGTTCCTGGCTCTTTCTTTTTTTAAAAAACCTTTTCTTCCTTCAGGATTGATTTGATTATTGGCAAATCAAAATTCGAAGGTTTTTCGAGACAGTATATATATATATATATATATATATATATATATATATATATATATATATATATATATATATATATATATATCATCCATTAATTGCACAACTCCGAGTTTCATGCCGAAGCAATTTTCAAGTGCTGGAATTATATTTATTTTTATTTATAATTTTTGACACCGTTTTTGTTTTTTTAATTTTCTGATTCCCCCAAATATATTTTGTTGCTGGGGTGGAATATTATTGGAGTTAGAGTTATA